ACCCCAGATAACCGCAACCATCAGATCGAAAATCAGCATTCCATGTCCCAACCGGTTTCAAACATTTAGTTCCCATTCTGACCTCGAGTATCTCGTGTGTTTCGAGAGAGAGAGAGATACTCTGCCTCTGACATACAACAGTATTAATTAGTTTCGCAACTTTTTCGAGAGACGAGAGGTAAAGGTAGAAGTAGAGAGTGTCTGATCTGTCCTCGAGAACCAGTTTCAACCGGCCAAGTCGATATGGCCGAATCTACCTCTCAACCCCGATGCCGACTGACGATGGGGGTCGACGACGTGGGCACCATTAGAAGAGAGAAGGCAACATCATCCTGACCTGACAACGACATCAAAGACGATTATTCTGGTTTTCTGAAGGTATGAGCCTGTTTCAGTGGATCACACCGCCGGTAAGTACACCAATAACATTCCTTGAGAGGGGGGGGGGGGCAGACGTGGACATACAACCTGAAAACCTGATTTCTGAATCAGGAACCTGAATTTGTCGCCAATTTACTACTATGCCATTTTCCTTGCAACGCCCTTCGCCATGTGAACATTGATTCTGAAAGAAGTTATGGCAGCGCCTGTACTCGAGAAACGAGTACTACTTCGTAGTTATTCTTCAAGCTCAGAACGATTTTGGACGTGACGTCACTGTTCTTTGCTCTTTTGTATCCCCCGCAACTGTAAGAATGCAATAATGTGATCTTACAGATATTGCTTTTCATATGACTCACTTTCCCCCTTTCTTCTTTATCTTCCCACATCACTTTAATGTTAACTCCTCCCACTTTATTGTACTATATAAGCCCTCCGGGATTCTTATCTTTGTGTGTGTGTTCATATCCCAATAAACCATATAATCTAAAATATGGTGCATCTGGCGATCAAGACCGGACTCTAACCCGCGTGGCGCTGATGGGAGCAGACCTGCTTCCTCAGTACGGCGAGCAACAAATGGACCACCACCACCTCAACTCAACTTCCTGGATCAAAGGACAATATTCGTCGGCAATAAGGACAATCTCCGTTCAAACAGGACATCGAGAAGCTCTTCAGATCGACTTTCTGAGGAGCAAAATTACAAGTATCGAGGACAAGACGAGCCATCGGGACAAGCAGTTCTTCGGATTCAAAATCCAAAGAACGAAAATACAGTTTCAAGGACAACTAGTCATTGGGACAAATCAATTTCAGATCCAGCATCTGAACCAGAAAGTTGGAGACCTTTCAGACAGCAAACGGACGGCAGATGAAGTTGCCGAGCGCCCAGAGCCAAGAGCCAAGAGCCATCGAGAGCCAAGAGCCAAGAGTCAGAGTACAAGTGCCAGAAGCCGAAATCCTACCTATGGACAAACAGAGACTAGAGATTGATCTCGCCGAACAATATTTCTTTTTTTTCAGAGTTTTCAGAGTTGAAAGCTGTTCAACACCAAGCAGCAACAACGGATCCAGTGGACAAGGTCATCGTCGATCCACAAATCCCAAATGGACAAACTTTCTGGTCCAAAACTTTTTCGTCGGAGACATTTCAACTCCGTCGGACCATTGCCAGAGTTCGTTGACAACGAATCTAAAACGAGCATTTCATCCTTTTTTCCGTTTCCTCAGACTCCTCGTCTTTGGATACAGGACACAGTGGACAAGTCATCGCCTTCCACAAACTTCAATTGGACATCTTCACGTTCCAATTAATTTCTCCGTCGGACAAGACCCAAGACCTCCGGACATTTTCCAGACTTCCATCCGCTTGCCCCCGGTAGTCTCTCTTTTGAGAGAGACTTTCGGAACCGAAAGTGGAAGAGGGACTATCAACGAAGTGGTCAACATCATTCAAGGACACGGATCAGTCTCAGGACTATCGTCTTCATGGATCACCATCGGCACTCGTGTACCTGAACAACTTCTACTTCAATTCTAATTTTCCCATTTTTTTGTTTATTCCCCCGGGAGTGTACTCGAGAAACGAGTACTACTTCGTAGTTATTCTTCAAGCTCAGAACGATTTTGGACGTGACGTCACTGTTCTTTGCTCTTTTGTATCCCCCGCAATTGTAAGAATGCAATGATGTGCTCTTACAGATATTGCTTTTCATATGACTCACTTTTCCCCTTTCTTCTTTATCTTCCCACATCACTTTAATGTTAACTTCTCCCACTTTATTGTACTATATAAGCCCTCCGGGATTCTTATCTTTGTGTGTGTGTTCATATCAAAATAAACCATTTAATCTAAAATAGGGCCCGCGTAGGCCCGGCAAAGGCCCGGATTACAAGTATGGGCGGATCCTCGTAAATCGGCACGCCGCCCGCGAAATTTTTCAGGTATCAGTTTTTTTTTTATATTCGACAATAATAGCACAAAAATCTTATTCAGGGTGTATTGAAAGCAAACCCATCATCAAGCAAGTGATGATAGAGTGCCACCCCATAACCGTCAACTTCGAGCCAATGTGTTTAATTTCCTTTAAAAGATATCAATACATATTAACTGGTAAAATGTTTATCATAACATCAAAAATACTTTTTCAGTTGACTACTGGTCAATATCTACTGCAGGTAATGAGATATATGGGCTCAAAGTTGAGAGATTTTTCCAGTTGATTTTCGGCCATTTTGACCATTTTCAGTAGTTGGTTCATTTTTGTACTGAAATCTTGAAAAACGTTTCTTTCAGAAACTGGCAATTTGGTGAATAATTAGGAATTTTCAAAAAACTAAGTGAATGCAAAGTTTTCAATCTAGGTATGTTTTAAACCCTCCAAAATTTTCAAAGTGATCGAAAAATGGACAGTCGAGCTCCAGACTCCTGAAAATGGTGAAAGTGGCATAAAATCAACTGAAAAATACTTTTTTCTATATCTCATTGACTGGTACTGCCTACAGTACTGGCCAAAAAGGTATTCGCAAACGGTTTTTTGAGAGTAACTTTGCTGAAACTTAAGGGATCGATCTGAAAATTTTACTGTGCATGTCGTACACGGTGACGACAAATTGCGTACAAGGAAATTGCATCATTTTCAGAAATTTTTTGTTTTTTTCAATTTTTTCAATTTTTTCGTTTTTTCACTTTTTTCATATTTTTATATTTTTGGATATTATGGTTTCTAAGAATGTTGGTTTTGGCTCCTATGTATTTAAAACTGTTTACAGACATGGCCAGACCCCTCGGAAAAAAAAAACATCTCTCAGGACATCCGTAAAGCCATCGTCATCGGCTTCAGAAGTGGATGTTCCAAGGACCTCTTGGCGCAGCAGTTCAATGTTACTAAACGTGCCATCGAGAAGATCTTGAAGCAGTTTCGGGATGAGGTAATATTCAAAAATAGTATAGTTATGGAAAAAAATGTTTAGGGAGCCTTGGTGGAGCGAAAATCGCCTGGAAGACCGCGTATCACGTCGAAGAACATGGATCGGAACATCGTCCGAGCTTCAAGAGAGGATCCCCAGAGGAGTTCTACGGACATTCAGATGGTCGTGAAGACTCCAAATGAAGTCACACCATCCCTGAGAACCGTCAGAAGACGTCTTCAAGATGCTGGACTCCATGGACGACGGCCAGCTAAGAAACCATCGATCAGCAAGAAGAACAGAATCGCCCGCGTAGCATGGGCCAGAGCTCATCTCCACTGGGGACGTCAGGATTGGGCTAATCACGTGTTCAGCGACGAATCCAAGTTCAATCTGTTCGGTACTGACGGTATCAAGTGGATTCGCCGTCCGGTTGGATGTCGGTTCGATCCCAGCTACCAGCTCCAAACCGTCAAGCATGGAGGTGGATCGGTGATGGTCTGGGGCTGCTTCTCTGGGTTTTCAATCGGCCCGCTGAGAAGAATTAGAAGCATCATGGATCGCTTTGTGTATGAAGACATCTTGGAGAACACAATGAGACCCTGGGCAAGGTCTACTGTGGGCCGGGCGTTCGTTTTCCAACAGGATAACGACCCGAAGCACACCTCGAAGCACATCAAGGAGTGGTTCCACGCCGCCACGTGGATCTTCTGGACTGGCCAAGTCAATCTCCGGACTTGAATCCGATCGAACACCTCTGGGAGCATGTCGAGAGACAGCTTAGAGGGGTTCGTGCCTCGAATGCCAACCAGAAGTTCGACCAACTCCAAGATGTCTGGCAGGCCATCCCGATGTCTGTCATCGACACCCTTCTCGACTCGATGCCAAGAAGATGTCAAACGGTAATCGACGCCAAAGGCTTCCCAACGAAGTACTAAAGCTATTTTATTCATTTTCTATTATTATTTTTCGTTTACCGGTCTATCCTAGATCTCAGAAGCCAAAGTTCCATTTACCGGTTTTTTGCAATTTTCATGAATTTTTCGATTTTTTTTCAATTTTTTGAAATTTTGACTATTCTTGTTGTTGAATCAGTTTCTTTTACCGTTTTAAACTTTGTCTTAAAATATCAGATCGATCCCTTAAGTTTCAGAAAAGTTATGCTCGAAAAACTATTTGCGAATGCCTTTTTGGCCAGTACTGTATATTCCCACTTACCGTAAAACCTCTAATAGAACGACACCCGGAACGNCNCCTTTTGACCTAAATATCTNCACTTCTTTTGAAAGGTATCAAAAAGTGGTTAACTAGTAAAATGTTTATCAGGATATCAGCAACATTTTACTAGTTAGCCACTTTTTGATATCTTTTGCAGAAAATGAGATATATAGGCTCAAAGTGGACGATCCGGGTGTCGTTCTATTAGAGGTTTTACGGTATATATTTTCCCCATGGCCCCATTTTTTTTTCGAAAGTTGTAATTCAAATCTTCCTACTCCTACTTTTCCCAAATTGATTTTAAACTTTCAGAAGAGCATTGGCATCTCCATTTAACACACTATTTCTACATGTTATCAGTCACTCCACCGCTTTCAGCACCAACGATGACAAAGATAAGGCAAATTTGCCTTTTTCTGCTCTTGTTTCAACGTAGTTTCATTTACCCCTTCTCTCTGCCAGTGGCTGGTAAAACATGAATTTGAAATTTTTAGGACTACTTTTGGTAGTTGGATTATGTCAGGTAAGATTATTAGAGAGTTTTAAATTGAAAAGAAGACTTTTCAGGCCAACATCTTCAACATCCCAAGCGCTGCTATCCGTTTCACCAGAAAATTCACTGGAATGGAGAAACTTTCAGCTCCTGATGAGTTGGGTGGAGAGGATTATGACATGAAAATTGAAGTGGGCCAAATTGCGGAAGACTTGGTTGCTGATGTGAAAGACGACGACAGTGAGGAAGTTACGTTTGAACCAGTGAGTTTCTAGAAAAAAAACTTGAAAAAAAACCAAAAAAAAATTTAGAACATGAAATTGGAATCTCCATTCGTGATGGGAAGAGAACCAGTTGTCAATTACCCAAACATGCTTAAGAAGGACTTCGGAACCCCAAGAAAAGAAGTCGTGTTGCCAGAAAACTATCATGAGAATGTTGTGGAGATTATGGATTCCAGAAACGAGAGGGAGATTGATTTGGAGCCAATGATCAAGGCAAAAGTTGAGAAAGGGTATTATGAGGTAGCTTATAAAAATGATTTTACCAAAAAATATTGGAAATCAAATGTTTAGCATATGGAGTCTCACGAATCTATCGAGGACCTGATGGATGCTGGATCATGGACAGATCTCGAAACTACTGGTGAAGAATCTGACGAAGAGTGGGAGGAGGCTCGTCCATACCTCAAGTGTGGATGCTTGAAGAAGTCTGGAAAGGTTTTCGAATCCAAAACCGCCCCAAGAGAATGGGAATCTGACAACTTCAAAGCCAACGATCTCCCGACCGCTTGGGACTGGAGAAATGTCAGTGGAAAGAACTATTGCTCGCCAACCAGAAACCAACACATTCCAGTCTATTGTGGATCTTGCTGGGTTTTCGGAACCACCGGTAATATTTCAGGCTTATGTTTCATTATGATCCCAAAGTTTTTAGGAGCTCTTAACGATCGATTCAATGTTGCTCGTGAAGGAAGATGGCCAATGACTCAATTGTCTCCACAAGAAATTATTGATTGTAACGGAAAGGGTAACTGCCAAGGAGGAGAGATTGGAGACGTTTTGGAGCATGCTAAGATTCAAGGACTTGTTGAGGAGGGATGCAATGTCTATAGAGCCACAAATGGAGGTAGGGTTTATCTCTCTGATTTAAAATTGTTAGCATTTTCAGAATGCAACCCATATCATCGTTGTGGATCCTGTTGGCCAAACGAGTGCTTCTCTCTATCAAACTATACTCGTTACTACGTCAAAGACTACGGAAAGGTAACTGGACGTGAAAAGATCATGGCTGAAATCAAGAAAGGAGGACCAATCGCATGCGCCATTGGAGCTACTAAGAAGTTCGAATACGAATACGTCAAAGGAGTTTACTCGGAGAAGAGTGATCTCGAATCCAACCACATCATCTCTCTTACTGGATGGGGAGTTGACGAGAATGGAGTTGAGTACTGGATCGCCAGAAACAGTTGGGGAGAGGCTTGGGGAGAGCTTGGATGGTTCCGTGTTGTTACTTCGAAGTTCCAAAATGGAGAGGGAGATCATTACAATATGGGAATCGAACGCGATTGCTACTTTGCAGATGTTGATGTTTCTAATTTGAACTTCTAAGTTATTGTCGAAATTCATTAAAGTAGTTTATTGAGTAGTTCTGATGAATAAAATTTGTTTGTTGTTTTTAGAAATGATGCATTTTAAGCAATAATACATGTTGCTGAATTATTATGAGATCCTTTTGGATTATCCAATTTTGCAGCCGCTTGCGCATTCTCAATGGACGTCTCCAACTCTTCATACCCCTCGATGCTGTTGACGTTGACATCTGAAAGGATCAATTGTTAATTTTTTTCATTTTTTATCACAGCTAACCTCTCTCATGGTCTGTGATTTCCCAAATACTTTTCTTCAAACTTCTCGTCAAAAAATAGGTCTCCAATTCTCCTCTTCCCTTCACATTGATTCTTCCTCTGGGCGCAAATTCAAATCTTCCGGTCTCCATTGCCTTTGAATACGTCCATTTGCTACATTGAATCTTTCCTGGCAACCCTAGTGACTCCATTTGAGAAGCCAGTGTGACTGTCTCTCCAAAAAGACAATATCGTGGCATTTTGGTGCCGACGACTCCGGCGATGATAGTTCCAGAGTGGAGGCCTATGCGAAGCAAGAATGGAGTATTATTGACTGGATCAATCACTGAACGCGCCTCCCACATCATTCCCAATGCCACGTGGCACATTGTTTCCGAGTGTTCAGAAGTGTAGTCTGGGATCCCTGATACTGTCATATAACTGTCGGAGACCGTTTCCACTTTGTATACACCTCTAAGAACTACGATACGATCCAGTTTGTGGAACACCTCATTTAGTAGTTTGACAATATTTTTTGGCTGACAAACTGGAATAATTTGTTGGAACGCGGGAAGGTCACAAAACATGACAGTAGCTTCGTATTCACATGGTTCTATATGCTCTCCGCTTAGTAGCTGTTGGGCAATTTTTCTGGGAAGCATATCTTTCAAAATCGAGTCAGTCTTCTTGCGTTCAATTTCCAATTCACGAGTCATCGCTTCGAGCTGTTCATTGTTCGCTTCTAATTGTAAACTGTAAATGAACATCATTTTCAAAAAATCTCTGAAGTTGCAATAACTTACTTGACTTCAACATCTGTTAATCTCTGTTGATTCAATAGAATCAAGTCACGCGTAGCGTCGTGAAGTGGCATCGCTGTAAGACGCATTCCGAACTGCATTAGCTCATTGATAGAGGTAACGTATGGAGAGCAGAGGTAGATAATATGCTTCTTGGTGGACAACATCATCATTTGCCCCTTGAGTTTTAGATGACATCCTTGTGTTAACTCGTTCGAAACGCTTTCAGCTTCCATTGCTTCCCTGAAACTCTTATATCAAAAATTGTGAGTTGATAGTCAACTTACGCTTCCTGTTCCTGCTCCTCTTTTGTCATTGCATCCATATGTTTCTTCTTCAATGGCGAAGTTTTAACTTGAAGTACAAAAACCGCATTGATGAAGTTGCAAATGTTCTCAAAGTCCAGTGGAATTTGAGGACGATTTATCTCGAAAATTCGAAGAATTGGTGTCCCTGGTTTGAGAAGCTCGTTCGGTATGTGATTGCTAAACTCGTTGGTATTGCCTCAAATATTTATGAATGCTTACTAAAGTTCATCTCCACACTGAACAAGTTTGCAAGCTTCATCGAGAACAAAGTGATATGGCAAAGCTTTCGAGAAATCTTGAAGCGACATTCTCAGGTTATCATCTATGATCTCTCCAAAATCTGGAGCTGCTGACGTCATCAAACTGATTCCGGATGCCTCTGAATCACGTCTGCTCTCTCCAACATTCTGAAATATTCAATCAAAATTCTTGGAATTTCTGATGATGCATCAACCTTAACCAAAAAGATAACATGCTCCTCAACGCGTTCTCCATTATTCATGTGAACACTTCGCTGAGTTCTACCTTGAACCACCAATGTGATGTCCAGATTGAACACCAACTTTGCTACTTCTTTCACAACTCCTTTGACAATATGATACAGTCCTGGACGTCCAGTGAAATAGTGGAGCATCAGAGTACCATCTGCATTCTCTTCACACCGAAATGACGGGCCACGCAGGTTCGCCTTGTAGACAACATGGTCAATGAAGTAGTGAAGACTATCTAGGTTGTCAAGGAAGCCTTTGAGGTTTGGACTCATGCTCCGTACAAGCTCGTCCCATCCGATTTCCATGGAGTAGGTGATCAAGAAGCCACCGTACATTTCCCATACTTGATCTTTCGTCACTTCTGATGTGAAAAATGAGGATTAATTAGATAAAATAAGATAAGAGACACTCACTCAAAACAATGGATACACTGTCGACAAGAACGTAAGTGTCGGTGTCCGAATAGTAATGATTCACAATGTTTTCTTTTCCATTTTCGAATCCGGAGCGTTCTCTGAAATGTCATTTGCTACGAAGTAACTAAAATTTTTCAAAATTGAATATCGTAAAAACTATATTAGAAGGGTCCAGCCTTTCTATTATAGTTTGTATTGTTCCAAGGTACCTCCGGAGGGCCCATCCATTGGAGCCCTTCAATTAGAAGGGGATCTTTATATTTTTCCCGCTATATTTTTCCATATTTTTCATTGAAAATTGGTTGAATTATCGTTCAAAATTCATTAAAATTTAGCAATTTCACCAAAACTAAAAAAAGTGTTACAACAAATTTTTAAAAACTTTTGGAATTTCTGGAATATTTTTCGCTGAAAACATACCGATTTTTTTAACTTCAAGCAACACATTTTAAGGGGCTCTACTAATACTGGTTTTTCTGTAAATTAAAAAAGTTATGAGTTCTTTCAAACTCAATTATTCAATACAAATAAAATCTCATAATTAGAAAAAAATGTTGACTTACAGCACTTGAAGCCATGTGTCTTCTCCATACTTCCGGATGACAAGTTGTCGAATACTCTCATGAATGAATCCGAACTGAAACGAAACTGTTACCAATAAACCGTTTCTGAAAACCAACCATATTCTAGCAGAGCTGCAATTTCCTAGAGTAGTCTCTAGTCTTTCTCATAAAATGAGAAGGCCTGGGACCATCAAACATTAGAAACGAAATCGCGTGCGAAACCATCTTCTGAATATTCTAGTTGTTGTGGTTACTGAGTATTTCTGAATTTCTGATGATTCTCGTGTATCCCCCACCCAAATGTGTGTCTTGAGAAGGTAAACAGTTCTTCTAAAGCAGTTCTATGAGAAAAATTTCATTTCAGTTTTTCAATTTTTTTTAAATTTGATTTCAAAAGCGAATCTATTAGAAAATCTTTTCCTATATGCGTCGATGAAGGATAAGACAAATTTGGCATACTTTCATGGGTGTTGCTTTTTGCAAATCGTATAGTTTTAAGCACCTGAGTAGGTAAAAGTAGTGTTGGGAAGATGTAAGAAAGGAGAAAGAATAATGGGAAGAACAATGAATTTAAGCCGGGAAATGGAAACAAATGGATTTGGATTTTTTGCTGGTTTTTTGTGTGAAATGTGTGGACCTAGCGAAAGGGAAAAAATAGATAACAAAAACAGAGGTTAATTATAAACTCTAGACATAAATCTCTGATAATTGAGCACGCTAACTAAACGATTCGATGCTAATCACAAAACATGGCACTGGTCATCGTTGGTGAGAGAGAAAGGAGCAAGAAAGAGATGACGTGGCAGAAGAAGAAGACGTCATGAGCATTGTTTGGGAGAGTGGAACATGGAATGAGATATGTTTGGGGGATGGACATAATCGTTGTCTTTGTCAATGGAAAAAAAAACTGAAGAGAAAAGAACAGGGTATTGATTAAAAGAAGTACAAGCAGGATAATTACAGAAGCATCGGTGGTGGCGGAGGCGGTGGTGGAGGCGGGAAGTTGTTTCCGTTGGAGTATCCATCCATATTTATTGATGACGTCGCAGTTAGAACTTCAATGAGAGTATCGGTTTCGGTTTTGAGGATATCCTTGAATTCCATTGGGTCACTCTGGAATTATGAAAAGTTTAGCATTTAACAAAATTCCTGAAAGACTGTTAAAAAATTTTTGATCATCATAATGAACACCTAGAAAAATCGTAGTTCTCAATATTTTCAACTTATTTTTTCTAATTTAAGCACACTCAAACCGTCCACTTGAAGTTCGGTTATCTCGATTCCCATAGAAGATATTTAAATTTTGTCAACTGATAAAATTTTGGTGATATTATGATAAGTAATTTTTTAGTTGGCGTCTTTTTTGGTATTTTTTACAGAAATCGAGATATAAGCTCAAAGTGCGCGAATAGGGTGGCGTTCTTTAAGAGGATTTACGGTATTTCAACCAACGCGCATTCCTACCCTACACTTTAGTTATATATGTTTTGTGACAGCTAGATTTTTTCGCTAACGGTACGGAAAGTTTTGGTTTTTGTACACTCTACGTAGATGTTTGAGGCACGTGACTCTGTATCTATAACCGTGATGGTGTCAACTTCTATATACTGCGAATGTGACAAAAACTGATGATGTGTTCTTTAGATTTGAATTGATCACGATAGCAGAATAGGGTTTGATTATTTTTAGCATTATCTTGGACCAAATTTGAAACCCGATTTTTAAAGTTCCAAAGTTTTCGAAAAGATGCTCACCTCTTCCGTATTGTTCTCCTTCTTCTTCCTTGGCTTCCGCCCTCTGGATGAGTTTGCCTTGTGCGCTGCTAGTCTCTCTTGTAACCGATCTCCACTAATGCCAAGATTCGACGCACGCATTCCTTCTAGTTTCGAGTCCCACTCTGAAAAAACACTTTTTAAACAAATTACTCCAAAATTAGTTTCATACTTTTACAGTCTGGTTGTGGATGACATGTGTTCAGATGGCGTTTCATGTTTCCCTTGTAAACCGTCACAAAGTCACAATCCTCGCAGATATAGGCGTCTTGAAGGACTTGAGTCTCTCGTTGTGTTGTCTCGGAATGACCATTCATTGGATATGGCTCGTAGGCGCTGTTGGAATATTCCGTTGGAGAGCACAGTTCGGATGAGTTTGCACCTCCGTAGAACGATGAGGACGCTGGTGATATTTTTGGAGTTGTCATGACTCCACCATTCAGAGATGGAGTATCAGGATCTGGATATTCATGATGGTACCGATTCGTATCCACCTCCTTCTTTGCTCTCTTCTTTGGAGTATGCTTCTCGGCATTCTCTACTCGATGCCTCTTCATTGGTTCGGCACTTTTGCAGCATTGATTAATATGCCTCCTTATATTTCCCTTATAGTGGCTTATGAACCTGTCGCAATACGGACACACAGGTGACATTCCATCGGTACCAGTAGTAATTGCTCCCGATTTTATAGCTGCGTCTGTCCCAGGAATTGGTGGATTCACTCCATTGGCCACTGCATCCAAGTAGTTTCTTCCAATAATTTCCCGACATTTCTCGTTCCGTCCAATGTGTCCGGTTAGGCTACGACGGGATGGATAGACACCTCGACAAGCCATACACATGACACGTTCTTCATCAGTCTCAAGATCGGTATTGTTTGGATCACTTCCCAGAGGTGGTGTACCAGATGCTGCTGATCCAGAGGAGGTGAGAGCAGGGCTGTTGAGCGAGTTCTGAAATTTTGAAAACATTATTACTGATAATACTCGGTTTCAGTACTTTTCGATTCAAGCAAAATGTCGATAAAATTCCCGCGGCTAGAAGTTGAGATTCGTTCTTTAAAAGGTTTGCTTTTAGAGGTTTTTTTGCAAACATTCATTCGAACACACAACAATCTTTACAATAAATCTAAACGGTCTAATAGGAATAGATTCTATCCGAAAGGACGTTAGATTTGAATGGGTTCTGTTATTCTAAAGAAATTCAATCAAAAACTCACATCTTCAGATGGTGATACGGTAGCTACTGAAACGGAATTGTTCCTCTGTGTTTCTGCACTACTGTTACTGGAACTCCTATTCAACTGATTCCCATTCCCATTCTTCTGTGATCCAGGTCGAAGAGGCTCGGGTCGCAGAACTTGTTGTTGGAGATGTTGGTTGGTGGCTTGAGCAGCTTGAGCGGCTAACAGAAGTTGTTGAGGGTTCGGTACTCCGGCAAAGGCTGGAGGGTAAAACTGGGGACCGTATCCATTGGTTCTAGGTTGATAGCATTGTGCAGCAGTGGCAGCAAGATTAGGCATTGCTGACATATAACTGGCTCCGGCTGTTCGATAGGCATAAGGTGGATCAAATCGGACTGGAGGATCATATGAGTTCCCTACTATAGGTTGGATCTGAGGTTGCTCAAAAAGTATAGATGAAGTGAGTTGCTTCCCAGGCCACGGTTCTGGATAGGTCGCATGATCACTGAGCATCGCGTACGTCGATCCGAAAAGTTCGGATGTTCCAGTCACCGACGACGATGACGACGCTGCTTGCCAAGGAGAGAAGGTGTCGATTTGTTGGCCAGACATCACCTGGAAAAATTTCAATTAATCCCACTCTGACAATGACCTAGATCAGTTCGTTTTCTGTGTGTCCCAAAAGTACTTGTCCACATACATTAATTCCTAGAAGGTGTCGCGCACGCAGAGGCAATTGGCCACTGATTCTATGGGAAGATAAGCCAAACGAATGGTCAGAAGATAGTACTGGATTCGATGAAGGCATAGAGAGAAAATTGTAGTAGTTGTGGAAAGAAAAGATGGAGAAAGAGAGAGGGGGACGATTAATGAATCAATCAGTGGGAAGAGTAAATCAGACGTGATAAAAAGTGACCATGGAAATGAAATGGGCTGCTGGTGGTGTCAGAAATGGAAGGAGGCGGATTCAAAAAGAAAGCTGTGTGTGTGTTGACTGCGCAATCATATAGAGGGACATCGGAATGATAAGACGAAAAAAATTAGGTGAACTTTTTTGGCAAAAAAAATTACCGTAGTCCAAATCGCTATCAGTTCAAAAGTACATGATATAAGGCGATTTTAGTGACCTTGGAATCTAGAAATTATCAAATTGAATGTGAGAAAAAGAACATCTAAACGGATATCAGAAAGATGTGAATGGGAGAACTGTTGATGAAAAAAAGAAACAGATTTTAGAAAAAATGATTGAAAAATGTTCCAAAGTACATGGAATCAAAGTTGCAGTTTTAGATTGTCTGTCCGTATTCTTAGGACTCGATTTCAAAACATTTTAGCTTCAAAACTAAAATAACTTTTCAACTCATAGTATTTCACAAAAAATAGAAAATTGCAATTACCGTAAAACCTGCAATAGAAGGGCACCCACACTGCCAAGTTTGAGCTCATTTATCTCAATTGCTGTGCAAGATATCAAAAATGTGTCAACGGACAAAACGATTATAATATTATGATGAAAAATTTATCAGTTGACAACTTTTTAATATCTTTGAGAGAGAGAGAGAGAGAGGGAAAAATTGGTTCAAAGTTAAAAGTTATAGACCCCTTTATTACAGGTTTTACGGTACATTTTCTATCAGGGTTCACCATGCAACATTAAGTTGAAATTTCAAATGACGACATTGCATTAACCGTAAATTTAAACTTTTACTCTTTCGAAAAAAAATGAAATTGGAGGACAAAAGGTCACATTAACCCCTATTAATTCGTCTGAACTGGACGAAACCCGCAGCAGTGGGTCAATGTTCTCTCCTACTTGGCTTCCGGCCAAAGTTCAAAAGAAATTGATAAACAGTTTTCTGTAAAAGAATCTCTCGATATAGTTCTCCCAAGTAGTACTACTAGTTTACCCTATAGGCACAGTGGGAGAGACGAATGTTGCGAGATGGTATCACATTTCCTTACCCTAACGATGCATGCTATCGATTCAAGGTCTTCCTCTTCCTCTCTTTTCTCCACATTTACCTACAGTATCCTTTTTGGAGACTTAGACGTGCTGAGATAAATGTTGGGGGAGCGTCGTGGCTCTCCCTCGGTTTTATCAGTGCAAGAAACACAAGGTAGAAAAAAAAGGGCGGAGCTTTTAAAGTGAGTGGACTCTCTTTTTACAGTATCCCGGATTCCAGAAGCTTACCTTATTCACCTCATTCAAGTTTTCGGCCACTTTTGTGTTGTTATTGTCACTGATAGTGGTGGGGATTGGCGGTTTGAGCATGCAAACTCCCTGTAAAATATCTGTTTAAGAAAAAATAAGAAGATAGGAAAAAGGTCAAGAAAGGGATAGATAGAGAGAAAATAAAATAAGAGAAATAGAGGAAGAGTGACCAACTTGAAGATGAAAAGGAAAAGGGAGGAAAAGAGAAGAAAGGAAAAACACAGATGATGAACATTTTTCCGATTTTCTCTTTTTTTTCCCACCGCTGCGATTTTCCCACGGTCTAGACTATCTTCTTCTTCGTCTTGTTTGTGAGAGAAAAAGTTTTCTGGGATCAGGCCAAACTCCGCCCTTTCAGTGAAATTTCTCGACTTTTGGTGTAGAGGCTTCTGGAGGCTTTTCAACAAGCAAATCAGTCTCCAGAATTGCATGGAGGCCTCCGGATGTGCGGGATGTAGCATCGACGTCTTCTTATTCTCTACAACAACTGCCCCGAAGACTCGTCCCGAAAACTAAATTTGTGTTAGACGCTTTCGTGTGTGTGAGTGTGGCTGTGGCTCCTCTTGTCGAGACGAACAAACTCACTTATTTGACATTTTGTGTCCATCCATCCGCTAGTGCTTTTCTCCCAACATTCTAACGCCTTGGTCCGTACGCCCGAAGATATTTTTTACAGTAGTCAGTTTTTTTTTGAGTGACGGATTGGGATGGAAAGAATGGGGGGGGGGGAGCGAAATCGTGAAAAGGTGAAACATTTCGCGCAAAAGTCATGGTGTATGGACACAAGCGAGTGGTCACATGAAAATGTTGAAAAAGCGAAAGAATTCAAGGTCTGGGGGGTTAGGTTAGCGACACGGGGCCGAATTTGGCTACTAGTGGTCAAATAGAAAAAGCAAGCAGAACGAAAATATTCGACTACGTTACAGGGTCCAACGTTATTGTTTCCTTGGAATGGGGAGGGAAAGAAAATGTTGGGATTACTGTAGTCCAAAAAAAGAGATGAGTCAGAGGGTTACTGTAATACAAACAACAATTCATCTTGCCCCTCTCTACCAATTCAAATGAGCAAAAATCAAAGTATTGGATAGGTCACTTATATCGTTTTTCACTCAAACCACACACCCTTCTGTATACCGCATACATTTCTCCTAGCTTTCCTGATGAAGGCATCACAATAAAACTTTTGCAAGTTGCCAGACAGTTCGAAAAATTTTCAAGGGTGTGTTCGATACAGAACGTCAAGTTCAGTTAGTTTTTTTTTCGAAAAATCGCCATATGAAACCGGTTATTCCCACGATCCTCCTCCTTCTTCCCATTTTCCATCCTAATTCCTTCGAACCATAAAACCAACTACCTAGACATGATTCCTATTAAACGTATTCCGAAAAACCCGTAAGGGCATGCGTTCAGAAAGAGATGATAGAATAGAAAGCGAAAAAAACAACAGAAAACAAGGAGAAAAAATCAACAAAAAGTGAGAAGAGATAAGAGAAGATATTGAGGGAACAAGAAGAAGAAAGATATGATAGTGTTTGGGAGTACGAGATGTAACTCGGGAAGGTGGATACGGGAGGGCGAGGGAAGTGGATAGGAAGAAAGCAGTTGGCAACATTGAGCGGTCCCGAAGGGTGAGGGACACGGGTAATAACGAGAGGGTTGACATCAAGTCACTGGACAGACCGACGCAACAGTTGCATTCGGAGAGAAGAGGCCAACCGACGACGACGACGGTGATGGCGACCCGACGATGCGGTGGTAGGTTTCTGAGGGTAGCTGCTGGAGAGGGCCTGCTGCAGTAGCAACAGGAGTGATAGCGGAAAGTGAGGAGACCCGATATTCGGACGTGTTAGAATGTTGTGTTTTGTCGAAAGAGCGAGATGGTTGGGACGGCGACCGACCGACGGGTGTGGGGGTCCCCCGCCGGTCGGAGGCATTGGTGGAAGGCCGACTTTCTGCGAGAATCAGAGAAAACGGCCCCATGGCGTCGTTGTTGTAACAGAAACCGCACATACACACACTTACACAGGAAATACACGTTGGAAAATACGCACGACAGTGATGATGTTGGAATATTGATAGTGGTAGAGTCCACAGTGATGTGATAGATATGTTCTGTGGTCATGTAATATGGTCTTCGTCATAGTTTTGATAAAATACTCTCCGAAAAGTAGAGAATGCTTTCATGAGATTCTATAATACCGTAAAACCTGTAATAGAAAGGCCCCCATTGTTGAGAGCGCAATTATCTCAATTACTATCGAAGGTATCAAAAATGTGCCAACTAAAAGTTAGTTCTAAAAGTTGGGGCCTTTCTATTACAGGTTTTACGGTTACTCTCAAAAGCAGCTCATGTTTGAAACTCGCATTTGGGCTTGATTAGCTTCCATGAAAAATAAAGAAAACAACTTCAAATTTTGGTTCAGACAGGATCATGTATTGGAGGCATCTCTGATTTTCCAGAAAGAATTTTTATTCGAATTCACGATTTTCAAAAAACTACACTTTGGTTACGCATGTATGGTTTCCACAGGTCAAAAGATAGGGATACGCCTTTTCACTAAGACATTCAGATGACCAGTTTGGGTCAACGTTAAAATCACAATTCGAAATTTCACAAAAACACACGGAAGATACTAGCAATCGGCCTTATGTGATTTAAATTCAAAAAGTACAAATAAATATTTTTAAAGAAGAGAAAGGTCAATTTAGAAAGTTTGGAATAGAATGAAAATCAACCACCACCACCGCGCCATCAAATTTTTAAACAATAAACACAGGCCAAAATAAACGAGGAATTCGAAAAAGTTCACTAGCGGAAATTGGAAATTTTCGAAAGTCCTGTGAGCGGATGTCTGCGCCATAATCCTTTCATGCCAAAACCAGAATAAACACTCTCATAGCTTCCAGACAATAATAAATAAAAAATTTATATAATACTTTGAGCAAAAATTCTGGATATCTTTGATTGGCTAGGGAAGGGAAGGGTCATGGGCCCAGAGTCATATAGGGACCACTGATGCATAAATTGGCTTTGACTCGCACGCCGCCGCAGGGCTTTTCCAGCCGGACCTGTCACTCAACCTTCATGTTCAGGCAGGTTCACCAAAAGGAGAGGCACCTCTCGTAGTGCTATTTGGTAAGATGATGGATAAGCTTCAGAAGAAGGGGAGGAAAGGAGATATCATTATAAAAGAGACGATGAATTGACAGGTTGTCAAATATTGAGAATGGGGTTTTTCATGGAAGAAAGAGGTCCGTAACGCTTCGGTAATTTTACGCTTATGAATAGAAGTTTTAGAAGTTTTATGATCGATGGAAATGTGAATATTCTAGATACGTCTAGTCATGTTAAAGTTGTAGAATTTCAGTAGGATTGGAAAAGTTTGAGGAGCGAAATCGAGAGGAAGAGAGGGAAGGGGCCTCCGAAAAGTTGTAAAGCATATAACCAGGTGGCATGTCGTAAAAGCCAGCTGTGCGCATGCGAGTGTGTGTATCCCAAGCCGGGGTACCTGCTTCAGAAGAAGTTTTTTGAAGGGCATAAAAAACGGCTAGAGATGAGAGAATCCAAGTGTTAACAGGTGAGGCTGTTCTAATTTTTCAAAATTTTTGTTTTTATTCTGTACAAGGTGGGCATGTCTGGGGCTGTCTGTAGTTGTGACTAATCACTATTTCTGATGGATAGATAGTAAACATAGAAAAAAATAATTTCGAAACACTGGAATTCAAAACAGCTACTGATTGGAAATTGGTTATCTGTTCCTGGTTAATTCACGTACGCCCTATTACTAATCATCCGGTTGTAATCTCGATTGAATGCCAAAAATTGATCATAAGTACAGTTTTCCTATAGAAAAAACTATAGAAGCATCAGACATAGTAAATAATACTTTTCACCTTCTTGAAATATTGAAGTTTGAAAGATAATGAAAGAATAGTACTTGGCCTAAAAATGATTCTTAGAAATCAGTTCAGGTTAAGAGTGATTATTTGGTTACACAAATACATGCTTTCAATTAACTGGGATCAGTAGAAATTGACGCATCGACACCTCCCAAAATTTTAAAATCTTAACGGAATGTTTGAAATTTTCTGGAAGTTATGGGAAATTGAAATTGCATGCTCAACGCATCTATTCGAATACCGTAAAACCTCTAATAGAAGGGTCCTAACTTCTCGGTTTCTTTGAAAGATATTAAAAGTTGTCAACTAATAAATTGTTTATCATAATACCGCAAACATTTTATTAGTTGATACATTTTTGATATCTTGCATAGGAACCGAAAAAAATTAGTTCAAACTTGACAATGTGGTGGCCCTTCTGTTGCAGATCTTACGGTATCCTCATTTCCTCACCATTTCTATCATACAATAAAAATATTCTAAAGAGTTCACCACCAACAGTCTCATGAGTAGGCTCCGATTTACAAAGAAGCAGGAGAACCAATTTCCAAGGAAAGAACGTTTGCAAGACGTGAGACATAAACAAGAGCGTGATAAATAAACGTAACGGATTATCCCGAGATTAGCCTTTTTTGAAAATCAGTCTTCTCATGGCGCGCGCGCCACGGCTAACTCGATTTCTTTTTCGAAATAAAAATTTCTCTGAAACGTTCTAACAGGGCTCGAGGACTTCTTCATGCAGTCGAGATGTTGGCCAAATTTATGGAAATTAGGTTCATTTGCTGGCAAGCCTAATGACCCATGGTTCAAGAAGATGAAGAAAAGAATGTCGGAGGATTCTGGAAAGCTGGAAAATGTTTTTTGGGGAGCCGGAGCCTAGGACAACACGACTTCGATGGTTGGAGAAGGGCCATTGGGGCAACGGGGCTGCTCCATCGTAGACCAGCCAAAACCAATTTGCGCCCATCTGCTCTAATACATACATATAGACAGCCCCTCTTTTGCCCATCCCCATACACACATACGCATACACAGAAGCGAAGAAGGGGACACATCTTATGCGACAAGGGGGGCATCTTTCGACAAGTGCGGGAAGCGATGGACGGAGGGACAGCACACACTCATAGAGGACGGATGGACGGGCCGCTTAGACGCAAATA